TTCATCCCATCTGTGCTGACAAGCAGAGAGAACCTCTTTTGCTCGATTAACCTTAAACTTCGTGCTTAAAGGCTTGTGTGCTTGTATTCGTTTCGAGGTTCGTTTGTATGATTTGTATCGGCTTTCTTTGTACAACTTACAGTATTGACATAAAATTCAAGCTTATTTGGAGTCCCAAAAAGCTGAAGTCACGGAATATCGTTCACTTTCAACTTTTAAATTGACTTATTATCAAATAACCGATTATGCTATTGGTTTATGCACTGGTTTATGCACATATTGATGTAATTAGTAAAAAGACAAAAATTTTTTTACTGATTATCATCCATAGTATTCTGTGAATTCAAAAGTTTTAAGTAGAAAATTATCTTCTGTACAATTCTCTTGCGTCAGGCTTCTTTCGATTCCATTTCATCGTGCCTCTTTTACCTAAAATCTGCTGTAATTTTCTTCGAGTTTCGCAATGACATAGATTTAATAGCGACGGAGAAGATTTATGTACTTTTAAATAATGAATATAATTTCTGACATTCATTTCTCTTTTACGCCATTTCCAAATTAAGATATGGTCGCCCAATTAAGTTTTCATGAGTTACATTTAATGTATAAGAAATTGCAGATAATCGATTCAGTATTCGGCATGTAAACTGTCCTAGAAATATGTATCTAGAGAGAGACAAAAAATGCTTGATGTTATTATACATAAAGCTCATTTTGCTATTTTTATTCATCAATATAATATAAATATATGCGTCTGTGTGTTTGATTAATAGTGTGGAAATAAAACATTCTGTGTAAACGAATCAATTAAATAACGAAAAATGGATAATAAGCACGATTTGATCATTGATTATTGTATATCTTCTTCTATTAAAAAAAAATTTAGAAAAATTTTATCGAGATCTAAAACGAAATAAAATTATATAGACAGTTATAAATACTTCATGAAGATTATTTTCGATTTGATATCTATTTTTGTCGAAATTAGCAGAAAATAACATTGATCGATGCTTTCAATTCTTCAAATGGAGAAGGAACACGATAACGATATAAAACTTAATTTCTTTGCAATTATTGACAAATAAATAAAGATTTATTTATCGTTTTGAAAGTAAATTATTTAAACGTTAAGAAACGTTAAGAAAATTAAATAAGTATTAGACATTAGATTAACTAATTATAGAATATCCAGAAATATTTTACGACTGCAATTCTAGATTTAAGTATTTTTACAAATTCGTACAAAGTTTCTGTACGAATGGATGAAATATTGCGTGCACTGCTTATTGTTTGATAGATTAAGAAGATAGGCTACAGGGATCGCGGTCCAATTATACGAAGCAAATAATCAAGATTAAATTCCCTGGATAAACAGTCGATAATCGGATAATTTATCTGGCAACGACTTACATATCTCTTGAAGCAACTCGATCGGGATCAATCTTTTTCACTTCTATTTTCCAAACAAGTCACGTAACTCGAGACTTGCTTCTATTTTCTCAGAGGCAAAAGTGGAAACTGATTGCGATGCGTGAAGGTAAAAACGAGGAAATTAAACACTATTGAGCGCGATTGATTCTACTGACTTTCGAATAAATCGAAGGAGGAAGGTATGAGACTTGATGCGGGAATTAATTTGTGCAATTACATCCGATCGATAATTGTGTCGCGTCCTGACAGATGCAGATCTTATTCAATAAAAATGCATTGCGATTATATCTTTGTTAACTGTGTATTTTAGTGACTTAGAAAATTTCACGTGATTCTTTCGCGAGGCAAGTTACATCTAAAATGATCCAATTAAAGGATTGGCAAAGTTGCCAGTTCTCGAAAGAAAAACGTATCTGTTTCATAATTAATGAAATTGGATCGCGGCCAAAGGATATCGCAACTGATGACTTGACAACCTCGTTAGTTGTCGTCGATCAGTTCTGAGCAAAGAGTTTTTTAATATCTCTTCAATTATTACGATTTCGATTATATTACTATTGTATTATAATACTATTGAAAGAAGTTTGTATAATACTATTGTTTAATCACGAACAACATGCTTAATTGTCTTCTGGTATTTAATCTTGCTAAGCATTGCGTTTCGAATATTATCTGACAAGAAGTTTTTTCAACTTGCATTGCAACATGATCATAAACATTATTATTACAATGATTAAAATTACTTTTTAAATATTTTACTGGCGTAAAAGTAGAAATGGATTATAAAATGATTGAATCTATTAAAAAATTTCAGAAATTTGAGCTTTCAAGAATATACGATTGATTATGTAGATTTTACTTTTTAATTTTTCAGTAATGTCTAGTATTGCTATTGTTAAATCCGCTATAATAAAAAAATATAAAAATTTTATGAATAAAAATTTGAGTTAAAATCCTGTCTAAGACTTCGGGTTTTCTATGAATCTCGTATTAGATATTGAGAAGCTCAACATTTGATAGGACAGAAGCCAAAAAGAGGCGAACCCCTTTCCCTAAAGTAGATCCACCTGGTGAATCGTGTCGTTCTCAGATAGAAATACATCACGCTCAGGATTTTTACGCATATTGACGACCACGCAGTGTTATTTGCATGTCTGCAATACATGTATATCTATAATTTTTTCTAAGTTTTCCGGGGATCTTTGGACATTAAAAAATGAGACAGGTGCGAGATGCATGCCGAGATGGAATGCCTAGGTATTGTAATATTTGCTAATCACGCATGTAGCGCATGAAGCAATGGTTATTATTCGCTTTTATATGTTTCATGTTACAACAGCATGGGTTGTTTGTTGTTCTAAATTTTCCGACGTGCCTAGATCGTCGAAAATCATAAAGACCACTTTTTTTGTTGAGAGGATAGCGAAAGATTTCGTGAAAGTTAAAAACATGAAGCTTTTACTTGTTAGAAACAATTTATTTAAAATAGTCAATTAAAGTTGTTTCTATTTTCTAATTAATTATATTGTTCTTTTTTATATATCGACACAGCTCGTATCCTCTCAAAATTTATGCTAGTTTCAAAATTGTATATTTGTATCTTACAACATTTTTTAACCTCAAATAGTGCAAGAAAAATGTGTTGCAAGACGCAAAGCATTTCTCAATAGTATTTGATGTGTGTTACAATTGTTTTCTATTAGTTGTGTTTTAATTAGTAAATATAGATCAATAAAATGGAAATACGTCAGGATACTGGAAATCGATGAAATTATACAAGTTTTTTATAAACATAAATGAGTTTCTAGAATATGATTTGTAATTAATTATTTTTACAATAAAATAGTATATTTCATAATTATATTAAGTCATACTGGTTATTAATTAATGTCACATAAAATATCTCAGATTTTATTAAATTTTCTTATGTAAGCTCAGACCAGAATCCGGACTATCATTCCATATGTATAGTTAATGGTTTATGAAGGTATAACACTCATTATCAGTAAAGAAATACTATCCGCGCTCCGTAGCATCCATTATCCTGGCAAGCGAGTGAGGACGGTCAGAAGATCATCGGCCACATGGTTTTACGAAAATCGGCCGGCTCCGGAAGCTGTAGTAGTATACTCGGACTAAAAGTTGTCGGTGGCAAACTATTAGAAGATGGTTCCATGGGCGCTCTGATCGAGAAAGTGAAAAAGGGTAGCACGGCGGATGTAGAAGGTCAACTTAGACCCGGTAAGATTATAAAGTTCGGATCAAGCAATTCGGAGAATTTTTTAATCATCCGAGTCTTATCTATTTACGATGAAATTATAATAATACGTGATGATAAACTTTATTACGAAATATACTTACTATAAATTGCAAAATTTTTATCGCTCTGCTTCAAAAAAATCATAATCGGAAATTGATTATTAGTTTTGCATTAATTAATAAATTTTGTAATCCGTACTTTCAACTTTGATGCTTTGAAAGCGCACGGTTTATCGACAGCACTCGTAACAATCGCGAACAAACCGTTTCCATTCCCACGACCGTCCATAAGAACGAATCGACGCTCGATCCCTTGCGGCTGTTTCAGGTGACGAGGTGATCGCATGGAATGGAAGGTCCCTTCAAGGCAAAAGCTTCCGGGAGGTTTACGACATCATCGCCGAATCGAGGTTGGAGCCACAGATTGAGCTCATAGTTGAGAGAAAGTTGTCGACAACGGGCATGGCGCCTGCAGGACCGGGCCCATCGACGCCCATGACGTCCAGGAGAATCGTTGCTCAGAGTCAGTGGAGACAGAAACATGAAACCATCTCTGGACCTCCGACGCCGCATCACAAAGGTGACTATACACAGAGCACGTTTCGTTTCCGGCCGTCTTTCGACTTGATTTCGCTTCTATGTATCACAAATGTCGTGATCTAGATTATTCTATCATCGACTCGTTTCGCTCGAACTCGGAATATACTTGTAACATATTTTTTTTTATAAAACTCTAAATATACTTATTATCAATTTGATATAATATAGTAGTCTTGCATGTGGGCTTTTAGTACCGAGCATTATTCTAATAAACATTTTAATAAGCATTACAAGAAATTATATATATAAAATTATATATACCCGCAGAACACAAACAGTAACATTACATTAATGTTATAATTTTCTACTCAATAGTGTGTTATATTACTATTATATTTATACTATTATATTGAATAAGAAATTATAACATTGTTGTAATGTTATTGTTTGTATTCTGCAGGTATATACACAAATGATAATTACACAATTAAAAGGGATGAAATCGTTTTAGGTAGATCGGCTTTCATTCTTCTCAGGATGTCAATTTGGATGTAGCAATAAAAAGTTAGAAAAGAGTATATTAGGAAGATGTATTAAACTGTATGTTTTAAACTGAATGTGATTATTATAGAATCAGAAGTATTTTGTTTGAAATGCATTTACATCTTCCTCTTAGTTGATCAAAGAAAATATTAACGTAGTTTGTTTCATTCATCATCAAAAAAAATTTTTCCTTAAAAATCTTTTTGTACTATTTACTAGGTAAGCTTTATAGGGAAGATGAACAATAAGAAAATCAGCACAAATTAAAAACAGACGGAAGAATTGAAAATTAATTATTTTGATTAATAAAATATTTAATAATTAAATCTCATTATATTATTAAAACAGTGCACTGTGCCTCTCGTTGTTAACACTGCGTTACATATCGCATAAGTATATGTATTAAGCATATGAAAAATAACATTATGCTACGAATTACATTTTTCGCATTTCAGGTCTTAAGAAATGCTTACTATGGGGTAGGCCTCAGACAACTTTCTTTAAATCATTTTCTATTAATCAGTGTTTCTTGCCTGTATCATTAGCCTTTTATCTCCGTTATCGACCACCGTTTCGTGAGATTTTTGCCTTCAAATCTCAACAAACGGGACCGGAATCATGATTTCGATGCTACGACAAGACGTATGACGAAGCAACGAAGATTGATTTACTATTTATTCTGCCTTGAGTATCTGCCGTCGATGTTTAACGTAGATGTAGATCGTAGTGCTAATGCACCCCTCCTCCTCCCTTCGTTAAAAGAGCACCGTTGTATAGGTATAGTCTTATGGGAGCAACAACTATTATATATTATATGTATTATACAAGATATAAAGATACCGATATATAATATATAAATCCTTCATATCGTGCTTCCTTTCTACTTATAACAAATCACGAGTATCTCGTGTAATCCTTATGGATAAGTGTAATTTGCTGTATTCACTATTGTCTATTATCTCCACTACATATCGATCTAACATTATTATCATAATAACTCCCCTTATTCCTTTCGTGGCTCGTTGTCACGGATTTCCGTGATTGTGAGAACCCGTGCATGCGGACTCCACTTCTACGAAAGACGTGGGTGTTTCCAGAACTGTTCAGAAATAGTTTATCGATTTTGCAACATCCCTAGGGGTTCGATGACGTTGTGAGATAGAATTTGGTTTTCGCATCTATAATTTCACACACTCAAGTATCCGATCGACGCAGAGATTTCTCGAATAGACATCTAATAGACATCTCAATCTTTCAAACATTATTTTGGACGTCTTGAGGATACATTTTCAATCTTTCTGTCGTTTGAGTATTTATCTAATACATATCGTATGAACACGAATATTAACATATTCATTGCCAATAAATGTGAGTGCCAGTGATCGGTTGGCAATGAATGTGTTAGCGCAATGAAAGCATGAGAGTTTGTTCATTCATTGGATCACTCGAATTTCTTCTTCTTCTTCATTTACCGTCGTCTCTTACTTCTATTCGTTACCTTCCTCATAACGAATCTCGCGCGTACCTTCTCTTCACGTGAATCGCTGCAAGATCGTAGATACGGAAAGTTATATCCTAGTCGAAGCTGCACGATCACTTGCAGAATTGTACGACGCGAGGCGTGAGAAACCCTCGGTTTTAGTGACGTCGCCGGGCTCGCCGGACCTGTACGCCCAAGGACGCAGTCGACACTCCCGAAATCCGACTGGAAATGCGAACGTGGGCGGCAGCATCCAGGTAAAGCTGGGCTTCGATCCCGTGGGACTTCAGCTGATCGTCACGATAATATGCGCCGCGGGACTCACTCCAAAGAGCAACGGCCAACCTAGAAACCCTTATGCCAAAGTTTTTCTGCTTCCTGACAAAAGGTAAGTGAATTTTACTGAATATTATTCTCTTATAGTATTCGATGATAATACATTTCAATTGAAAATTTCGAAGAAATGCGCGTAATACCTGTGCTCCGATATTCATAATTTGAGTAACGAAGCATGTACAGATAATTCAATCAAATACCATGAAAACTCAACTAAATACATTAAAAAATATACATTTAAAAAATATTATTTGATGTATATACGTATGTATTAACATTATAATTTTGTTTTACATGAAAAGGAACGGTTTTGCTGAAGTATCTAAAAATTTTTAACTATGTAGGTCTGAAAATAATTTTGTTGGGGATTATCAAAATTATGTAGGATGCTCAAGCTGGTTGATAGAAACTTTGTTGAAACTTTTTGCAGCATTGCTCATCATGTTTGGGTCTTCTGCATAATTATTTTGATGGTCCAACAAAATTATTTTTAGGTCTGTACTTACCTAAATTTTTTAGATATTTTATCAAATAAAAATTGTTCTTTGCAAAGATTTGCAAAATTTTAACAATGATTATTCAGTTTGTGACCTATTTCATTCTAATTTAATTACTACTTCCTACTAGTATTTTATACATTCTTTTTTTAAATGTCATTATAGCGAAAAATCGAAACGACGTACGAAGACTGTGGCAAACACGAACGATCCCAGATGGAATCAGACTTTCGTTTATAATGGAGTCAGACGTTCGGACCTGAGGAAGAGAGCACTGGAGATTACGGTGTGGGACTACGCTAGATACGAGGCGAACGATTTCCTCGGCGAGGCTGTCCTGGAATTGGCAGTATGTCTCCTGGACGAAGAACCAGAATGGCATTCTCTGACCGCTCACGGAGAACACCGGCACGTTAGGTATGACTCGCACTCGCGGATGCTAGTAGTTCCAATGCCAATGCTAAAAGCGATCAAATAAATGCCTCGCATCAATACGAATCCCTTACGGAATGTTTGACAATGTTCCTACGTCATATCTCTCTCTGCGTTTAATGTGACATTGTACAATGTCTCTTATGTCTCAGAAATCTTTATTCTACAAATTCATTCTGTCTATATTCTTTTGTTTCTAAACAAATAGAGATAAATTTAATATTGCGACAAAACGGGAGTGACTACTACCGCTAAGACTATTAACTATTTTTACTCTTCAGGCATTACCAAGATGATGACATGATAGATTGTCATCTTAGTCCGCCATCGACCACCTCGAGATTAAGTGACTCCGACACCTCGGAGTGCGACATTACGGATTGCGACGTGTCTAGAGAACAGAGGAGAACGGCTGACGGTGCCAGCATAAGCAGTATTGGCAGTTCCTCTAGGTAAGACTATTTCTTAAAAATCTCTGTAATATATATAAATCTCTTGGTCTAACGAAAGAGAGTATATTGAAACCGTCGGAAAAAAATCGTTTAATTCAACTAGCTTAGAATGTCTCCGTTAAATATTGCATAAATCCGTCACACGCAAATCGAAACGTTTGTGCGAGAATCATAAGATATCGAATAGAGATAAGTCTATATTTTATACATTATTGAAAATTAAATGCGACATCTCAATGAATTTAGCATACTTGATGGGTAGGAATTACGATATTAATCTAACAGAGTTGCTGTCCCCGACAGACTTCGTAACTATTATCGTTATATTGCGTAACAATTATTCTCGTGTTGCGATCTTTATTATACAAAAAAACGTTATTTCAGTGTATGATACAGAATATTTTTCTGCAAGAATTTCTTCCTTTAATATCCGACCGTTAAAATTGGACGTTTATCGAATCTATGCAATTAGAGAGAACTTTACGTGGCTTAAAATAAATACACGATAAAAAAGTCTTCATTAATTTTTTTTTACTCTTTTGCCCTCTTTTTACCAATCATTTGTCATAAAGTTATTGTAGAGAGTTGTTTCTTTTAATAATATGAAAATAGTTTCCGTAAAGTTTTGGAAGCGGTTCCAATACTGAGTTCTGATTTGCTTTCTTTCTTACACGACTAAAATGTAAGCTAAGTGCAGAGAGAAAATAGAGACAAGTACGAATATATAAAATAAATGATAGCTAACGGAAGCTTGAAAAAAGATAAGATTCGAGCGGGAGGGGTCAATCGAAAGAAAGAGAGAGGGTAAAAGCTAAGTTATAAAACTGGGCAACAAGCCAATTGACATAGCAGTTGTCTCGCGACCGTTGCTAGCTCCGGAAGTCAGCCTGAAACTCGTATCTATATTAATACTTCAGTGACAATATCCGATTATTATTCTTGAGTGTAAAGTAATTTTTATGTCGAAGCTTTCGAGTCTCTACTTATGTGCGAAAGAAACAATAGTGCACGTCAAAAGAGAATGAAAATAAGAATACAACTGTTTAAAGAGTTAATTTATAACAATAATGAATTCATTCGAAATCGCACAGTTGCTAAATTAACGGATCTCAGAGAAGAAAGTTAAATACACAATAATTTATTGCTGCTGTAATAATTTATTCAGTTACGAAAATATGAAGTCTGTAAAATCTGCGTTGACGTGAATTAATTATCAACGACAACGAAATTTATTATGTAACAAAATTCGTGATATGCATATGCGTATTTATAATTATAATTCTCATATATAATTCCCTGTAATTCCCTTTAGCAAGTAAACTTTTTAAAATTGTTTCAATGTCAACACACGTCTTGCTCTCGCTTTAAAGATAGCTTGCCCATAAATTTTTTCATCGACGATACATGCGGCAAATCGAATCAATGTAGCGAATTCAATGAACACGTAGGCTATCTTCAATAGGCTTGGCAGGTAGAGTGGCAGAGATGAGGATAAGCCGAGATACTATCCGGCATCACTCTGCACTTTTTTTTATATCATACAGCTTCGATCTGCAAAGCGAACGCTTCTAAGCGCGCATTAGCCTGTAAAAGCTTTCTCCGAATAATTGAAACATTCCAGTCTGCTTTGAGAGCAGCGGACATCCTACGCATATTTAAACAACCTTCAATATTCGTTTAATGACATTATTCGAAAGGGTTTCGCCAGTTATATTAACATATTCATCGTCAAATCAAGCCGGCAGCTAATACAATGAACAATTGTATCTGCGTCTACGTTTTAATAAAATATATTTTATTATAATTCTGCGCAGATGTTATTATATTTAATGGCGAACTACGAATAGCTTTTCTGACGAGCTTATCACACGAGAATTACAAAAAAATTTATTTCCATAATATTATACAAATTCTATACCATTTTTTTCATGTCTTCGCGATATCCTAAAAATATTGATAGAGTTAAAAAATATTACATTGAAAAAATAGTCTGGTTGCATTAATTGGAATTCAGTTTAAAAATGGACAAAGAATTTTCTAATTCGATCTATTATAATTCCAATTGAGATAACCAGAATTCCGATAGATATGATCAGACTTTTCTAATTCGCCCATTTTCAATCAGAAAATTTTTTTTTAGCATATGCATCTATAAAAATCCATACTTGGACATATTTTAAATTGATACATTTAATGTGGACAAAATGTTTCGTGTTAAAAATATATGATTTATGAAGAGATAAAAAAATTAGACAATGACGCGTCGGCCGCGGCCGCGCCATCGCCCATTGATTTTAATTTTAATCGTGTGCTTTGTGATTTATTTTTTAGGTTTCATAATATGCCGTCAAATTATAAGCGGTACGGCCATTACAATTTATATCTTATCTTTCACGAATCACGCAGTCACACGTCTTGCATCCTCACCGCTAGGTTCTGTATTGCGCGTAGATCAGTCAGTTAGTCATGCCGACAAGCCGGAGATTATAGGGACATGACAACGGGACGTGTACTGACGTGATCATATAGCTAATTTAATTTAAGAACGGACAACAAAGACATAAGAAACCTTTATTTGACAAGGATATTACTTCCAAGCGTGGATGGGAGGAAAGGAGGAAAGAAAGTGTCTTTTTTTTCGGAGAAAAAAAGAAACAGCGACTCTGATACGGACGTCGTCGGTGACGAAAACTACTATCGACAAACAGAAAATCTCGCCTTTTGTACTTTTTCACGCGCGCGATATTGTACACGCAGTCGGTGAATATTGCAATGCACAATATATTTCGGTGTTATAAAATTTTTGAGACAATATCTATCCTTTGTTTTCGTTCTTTATCAAGGCGCGAAAACATAGTGAAATGAACAACGATATATTAAATACGAATATTTAGCAAATCGCCATTCATGTAGGCACTTTAGACGTCATGCTGTCATTGCTTCTTGCATATACGCATATTGTATTAGATGCGACAAGACATGGCTTCTAGAATGCTTAGTGCATTGCAGTGCATCGGCCGGGGTGGATTGAATTTCTCGAAGCTTCGATTCCAATTCGCCAGATTTTCGTTGCCAAAAGTGGTGAAAATTATTCTGGATATCTTACATACTTCGCGCCACGGTCGTTCTTTTCGATGTGCAATTGCTTACGCAATACTTGGCACTCATCTAACACACTTACACAGCATATTCTTAATTTATGACGAGTCATCCTTTTTTTTATCGTGTACTTTCATTTTTGGCAACGAAAAGAGTCCCGCGATCGAGAACACCAAGGAGAATGTTCGACTGCATTGCCGAGTAACTTGGAGCTGCTTCGCGCCAAATTAGATATGCATTCGCAGTTTGCAATCTGAAAAGTCGAATTGAGCTCACGCTTATATTTTATGCGCTAAAATATGAAAGATACGAAGAAGATTTGAAAGATAACGAATGAAAGAACTTTGCGGATTTTATTTTTTATTTTGTCGTTTTGGCTCCGTTCTTGGTGCTGTGTAGTTCGTTCTCGCTCCTAGCGTTCTGAATATCTTTTTTTCCGCTTTTCCACCATCCTGGCCGCATGCATTTTAATGATTAGCGCGAGATCACAGCACTCGCCTCATTTAACTTGTAAGGCACGCAACATTCACTGATTGATGAAAAAAAAATGAACGCATGCTGGAGCAGCCACTATTCTAGCCCACCGCCGGAGAGGGAACTCTGCATCGATGGTGAGCATCGGAGTCGAAGAGATATGTCACCTCAGGGACGCAAAAGGGCAGCCCTGATGATTTCTCGTGACCAACCCGCTACTATCAGCTCGAGTTACCAGACATATCGTAAGGTAAGCGTTCGAAAACGTTTTTAATTATCATCTGAGCACCGATAGCAAAAATTTTTTAAATGGAGCATTTATAAAAAAAGTGACAGTATCTCAAGTTCGACGGGAACTTTTAACTAGATTAAAATAAATAAAATGAAATCGATATATACATTTAGATAACATTTACCGAGACGTACAATATTAAATACGTACCGCAGGAGGAGATCCATCGGGGAATGATGGGTCACAGGTCGCACAGCGCGGCACCTATGGATTCTCCAAGCATTAGATATCGAGGAAGGTCTCAGAGTCCCACCGGTCACCGTTCCTTGTCTCCACCCGAGCATAGATCCATTCCCTATTCGCACGGATACGTTCATACGACGAGGTATAAAATATCACAGGGAAAATTCTTTTGAACATTATCTAGATTACATACTTGTGGGAATTAGAACTGGACTTACCAATGGACTACCAATTTAGATTCGGCTCGAGATCGGCGACCGCCACACCTACTGGATCGCCAAAGAAACGTCAGCTACCTCAAATCCCGGCAGCTTTAAAGGAAAGAGTCACACAAGATTTTGAGGAACGAGCAAGATTCATGAGACATCGCAACAGACAGTCGATATACAGAAGCACGGGTATGAGAGATTTTTTTTTCATTGGAAAAGTTATTGCGTTTTTCCGATATTTACTTATTTTTTTGGTACTACTGAAAGAATGAAAACCAACGTAATAGTCAATATATTAATTCATTCTTTTTATAAATTTTTATTGTATCTTCAATAATTGATTAATTTATTCTCAGGCTGGGAAAGGCATTATAGTGGCCTTTCGGACTCGGATCTTCCTTCAATCGGACACGATCCATTAACATTGTCACACAGTCACGCTCACAGAATGCACAGGCCGAGGAGGGGGCATTTAAGTCCCGACAAAGATATATTGGGTGATCTTGGAGATTCTGACATGGAAAGCATAGCTTCGGTAACGAGCAGTGCCTTTAGTACGCAATCGGAACGACCACGTGGATCAAGAGCGCTAATGTGAGTATAGTTTTATAATTAAATTTCCGTTATTTTAGCATACGAATTACCTCGCGTTGCGGCAGTCAATGTGCAAAGCAACGCAGATTCAATAGAATATCCCGGTAAGAAGGAGGATCTGAGCATCGAGCGTGCTGTTTTAAATATATATCGCTGCAACTTTAGAATGCATCGTTATACGTCCTTTATGTCACGATAAAATCGATAATCTGAAGAATAGCACTCTCATCGACTCAACCTCTCGAGTCAAGGAAAATCCCTGGATTAAATGGACATTGTCAACTAAATGGGTATCCCGTAGTTGCACATTTTCACATCCTGCTTGTGTACGTGTCAAGTCATCCGATATCCTTCGCGCCTTCTCTACAAAACGATTAGATTGCACTTCCTATGCACTATGTCAATGTCCATTTAATTAGTATCTCATTCTAAGAAAGCAGGGATCAGTGCGTGGCGTTGGTCGAACGGTTAGGTAGTTGTGTCTCATCGCGTTCATAGAGATGAAGAAAAAGCATTGCTAAGTACATCGATCGCCGCGTGTCTCTTCTGAAATGCCGACCCGTTGTTCTCGGCGAATCGACAGAGTCGAGTTCCGAGTCCATGTTAATGACCGATATGCGTTCGATCGATCGCGAACGCGTGGTTAAATAAAAAAAAAAAAGAGAGAAAGAAAGAGAAAAAGGAGCTAAAGAAAGATGAAAAGCGGAATGGGCTTACCCTTTGGCTGTGTTCCCGCAAAAGTGCTCTTTATATGAAAAACATTGTTTACAGACCGACAGTTTTAATACCCAGTGCCACATCCCCCATACCCCCGCCCCCTAGGCGCAATAGGCGCAGGCACAAACTTAGGGTACCCTGCAGCGAATGTCATTGTCCCACCAAGCCCAAAAGCAACAACCCTAGCAAGTGTCCCACCCTATATCCCCTCGTACGGAGCAAGTCCGCAGTGGTACGCTCGTTGTACAAAAAGATGTGTACGCCATTCACGAGATCGCAGACCGTCGACGAGAACATGCTGAGATATTACAGCTCCGAGACCAGCGAGTACAGCGTTTCCGAGGGGTACATACTCAAGCCAGAGAGACTCGTAGCTAGTAGCGCTAAGAATCGTATACCGGCGATATACGTCGAAGATTGCCTCCGCGTCAACCTTAACGATCGTTTTGTGGAAAAGTTTCGCTCTAGGTATTCGACGCCGTATCTCGCAGGAGGATTTGGTACGTTGTCGCGTGCACGTAACGATTCCACGGTGATGAGAATGATGACGTCGATGACGACGACGACGACGACGACGACGACGACGACGACGACGACGACGACGACGACGACGACGACGACGACGACGACGACGACGACGACGACGACGACGACGACGACGACGACGACGACGACGACGACGACGACGACGACGACGACGACGACGACGACGACGACGACGACGACGACGATAACGATAATGACAACGATGACCATGAAGACAAAAACGAGGACAAGGTGATCGATTGTCGATTCAATCGACCTCCCTGACCATTTCGATATTAGGAGCATAAACGCTAGATTGTATCCACGTAGGTCTTTTTTGTCCGCTAAGACTAGAAGCTTCGACGTGATACATACGGTGATCGTTTCGGTACTAGGCCAGAGACCGTCGGTCTGCTATCGCGCCGGGCCAAGAGTTTCGAGTACGAGAGCATTTCGAGCAACATATTCAGCGACGACAGTCTCAGGACGGCCAGAAGAAAACTCAAGCGGAATCTCTCTCTCAGCGACGCCGGGTATGGTGACAAGATACCTGCGCTGGACGATCAGAGCAAATCCTACTACGATTCTAACGGTGACGACAAAGTGCCTACGAGTCTCACGAATAAAGAGACAAATTACGATTTTCTGCTCGATCAGGACCACAAATCGTTTTATGGATATGACTCGGAATTTAATTGTGGCGAAACGGAGATTTACGTTCCAAGTTTCGACAAGCAGAATACTGAGACTGACAATTATCAAGCTTCTTATAGTTCTCATTTAACGGAGGACAATGGTCTCTTCAGTGACAACGGCCATGCTAATCTCAGGAATGTTCTGAATAAGGATGATACTAGTAAGAAAAAATATATGGATGGAAGTTACTTGAATCACGACACCTCGTATATTAGGGATATATCTCCAGGAACAAGAATTAAGAAAGTAGATACCGATCTTCGTACTTCGATTGGTGATATCTATAGTAATATTGAGGAAGCTTTTTCATCTAGTAAAAAAAATTATGATGGTGATATTCTCGCGAGATCCGTCACAAAAATCAACGATGACACAAAATCCACCAACATGAATGAGTGGATGTCGAAGGACATAAAAGGTGTCCTGCGGCATGGAGCAACTGGTCGTTCTTATCAAGAGGATAGGTATAAGACTCGCGAGAACTGGGACGCTGATTACGACGAAGGATTTATAGACCGGGAAAAGGACTACGAACAGAAGCAGTTTAGTTACCTAGACAAAGGCATTTGTGCCTTAAGAACTAGTGGATCAGTGCGCGAAGGTGAATATTTTCATGATGTAACGAAACGTTCTTGTGCTGTTCAGGGAAAATGTTATGCACTATCTGATGATGATGACAAAAAGTTCACGATGAACGATTACATCAGTTTTCGTTCGTCCGACGACTATGATTATTGGACTACGCACAGTAAGGCGGAAACATACGAGGATGGATTTGTGCCGCGAAGACGAAGGCGAAGAAGTAGGAGAGGTAGTAGAGATGGAGGCACAAGTGACTACGAGACCCTGCCACGGATCAGAGACGTGTCAGGTGCTCAATCGAGAATGGAGAGCAAGAAATTGATGACAATCCAACGTACGGAGTCCACGCCGACCCTACACTCAGACGAAGACGTGAACTTGCTTGCAGACCGTGCCAGACGTATGTATCGTCGCAAGCGAAACAGCAGTTGTCCAGAGAGTAGAGATTTACGAATGTATGGTCCGCGAGGAAACGGTGAGAGAACTGTATTGGAGTCTGACGAGGAGTTCGGATCGATGGAGACGGTAGTCGGCGCTGATTATTTCCGTCGTACTTCGGGCTACGTGGCGAACGCTAGAGCAAACGACGGCATTAGATCGGGCTTCTTTGACGCGGAACAAGATCGTGATAGCTACTTAGATGCAAGATATGATCATGAGGACCGATATCAGGATCGCAGTTATCCGATGGCACGCGGGCTAGTTAGGTCAGGGTCGCAACGTTCTTCGAATCGCGATGCGCGATATGTATCGCGCGCTAGGCGTAAGAGTAGTTGCCCGGAGTGTCGTGAGCTAGCACTGTCCTCCTCGGAGTTAGGTAGGTCGGGATCGCTATCGCGAAAGGGCGACGATCTTCGGCATTCATCGTTAGAGACGAAGCATAGATATCGTAGGCGGAACAGCAGCTGTCCGGAGGCTAGGGATCTCGAAATGCTCGAGAAGAGGCAGCGTCAGCAATTCATGCAGCTCCATCAGCAGCAACCGCAGCGGCTTTCAAGTCAGCAGTATCAGCAGCAACCGCAGCAACAACGGCAACATCAGCAACAGCAAGCGCAGCACCAGCAACCGCAGGGAAGTAGTAAGAGGAACGTGGCGATCAGCGACACCCTCGAGTACTACGAGTACTCGATGGAGAGCGAGAGCCAGTGCAGCGAGAACTGCGGATTTGGCCCGTGCGATCCGCGTAGGCCCCGTAACCGAGCACCCCGCCCTGGTAACGCTAATTCGAGTCTCTTTGATTCCCAAACCGCTACCTCCGACACTGCTAAAAACTACCACCCACGGATCGACGATCATCACCACCAACACCCACAAAACACGAAAACGTCGCCGCTCACCAATGTCGCCGATGTGGCGTCGACGTTTCTGCCACCGTTGCCGCCGTCATCCTTGTCGTCCGCTCGACGACGATCCCGAAAAAAATCCGCTTACGACGTCGTCGCCGCCGTCGCCGATCGTCGCGACGACGACGACGCTCGGAATCGTCGTTCTTCATCTATGCCCGAAAGCAGCGAGTACACCAGTCAGTCGAGCTCGTACGAGAAGACGTCCAGACGCCAGGTCACCGACAATGGCCATGACGAACACGATAAGAGAAGTCAGTTCACCAGAAGTCTCAGTAATGCTGATGTGCCGCAGGATGAGAAAGGTAAAGGAGAAAGTTCATAGTGATTAAAATTAGCTCTCTAAAATGTTATTTCTCGACAAATTCCATTTTTTAATAACAAGACATACTTGCATCGATTACGTTATCCATTGAATAAACACAATTTCATAAAATCCATTACCAAATATTATTTCATGATGACTAAACATAATATAATTATGGACTTTTAATAATTTTACGTATCTAATATCAAAAGTTGCGCTTATTAAATTACATTTCTTGATTATTAAATTTGATTTCTCTATCATGTCCACTTTATTGTATTAATCTGTATCCACATCTTGCTATTTAGTAGAAATTTTATTTAACGTTTATAGCTTTGATTTTTCGCTGAATATAAATTCTCTTTAAACAGACGTCGATTTTACTGTCACGATGACGTGATATATATAACTAAGAGAGCGAAGACCGAACTCTGCAAAAGTGTAACATGAATTTTCGTCGAGATTTACAGTCACGAACTAGTTGCACTCGAATTTAACGGTAGTTAATAAACTGCGGACACACATCCACGCAAACGTTCTAAAAGTTCCTTTTGAGTTCGCCGAGTCACGAACGTCTTTTTCTATCTTTCTTCAACTATAGTAAAGATACACGCACATTGCTCCATATATTTTACATGACAATTATGTTTTTAACCGTGTGTTGCGAAATTTTTAGTTTAACTGGCCGAAGCTATATTCTATTATGTAAGTTTGCTTCGTGCTTTCATTCCTTTATTTTCTAAACTGACGTGACAAAGACAGGACGAGGACACACAGAGATGTGGCTCACAGTTTTTACTTCACCCTCGGGCCGCTCTGATTTAATTCTATACATTTACAAGTACTTGTTCTTGTTTCGCAGACACGGGTAGTTTCAGCGATACTGCGATTGCATTGAACGTTGAAGAAGCAGCGAGGAGAGGTCGTAAGAGCTCGCCAGGAAGTAAAAGCGGAAGTGGCAGCAGTAGCGGAAGCGCAGTGCAGTACCAAGCGGGTTTGGGCAAGAAGAGCAATAGTACCAGCCAATTATCTGCGACAGGTAACACATTGTCACGCTGGCCATTTCTAGTTAAGTTTGCGTTTAGTCTCTACGTGTTATACGTAGTCGTGATTTTCGTAAAGATCGATCGTTCGCGCGAAACTAAAGTCTTCCGGTGCGCGATATTAGAACGTTTGATCGATGTATGACACCATCTTGCGCGACATTAGACAGTTTTCTATTTTCCTGACATTTATATCTTCTCTCTTTAGTGAAAAGGATATCGTTTTCTTCAGAACATCAATATTTCGTAAATTAGGATAGAGTAGTTTAGCATCGTTAGTGTGTAGACTATAACGGTGTGCTCTCGCTACGTGCGTACAAATGAGGATGATGCAAATATGTCGCCGATACGAACGAATTTTGTTAAATGTTAATGAAAATAAATTCAATAGCTTTGATACATACAACAAAAATTTTTAATTAACATTTTACATAAAGTTTACAGTCAAAACGTAAATGAAGAATGAGAATAAGAAACGGGTAAAATGTAACAAGAAGCTTGAAAACGTGCGCGGTGAAATGCAGAATTAGTGTGATTGATTATGAACTATGTATAAAATACTTAGTCATGTAATACTTTATATGTATTTTATATATAAAATATTTAGATATGTACTTTATATATCTTTATATATCGCGGTGAAATGCAGAATTAGTGTGATTGATTACGAACTATGTATAAAATACTTAGCCATGTAATACTTTATATGTATTTTATATATAAAATATTTAGATATGTACTTTATATATAACTACTTTATATATAAAAAACTAATACTAAATGTAGGTATTTTATACATAGTATTTTCCACGTATTTTATATACATGAAACGTAAGATAAAGTTACTAAACAAATTGATACAAAAGTACATTGTGCTCTGTTTGAATGATTTTATTCTACTAATTATTAATTATCTTATTCTTCATATTTCAAGTCTTGGTCGTTACGGTTGCGCGGATTGCAATTCGATTCGACGGGTAACGAATTGAACGATAACAAGAGCATATCGTGACAAAGCAAAAAAACCCAATAAGCGGGGCAGTATGTACATTCTAATTGTATTCTTGTTTTCTCCGCCATCCCTCCTCATCTCTATCTGCCTCTTCTTCGACATGAACACACTCACACTTTACTTCTACCAACCAACCACCTCTCGACGCTGGGGGACCATTCACGTCATCGATCTGCACCCACCTGCACGATTTCTCATCGTGGCGGCCGATCGTCGCCCCGCGCTCTCGTGTGCTCGTGTTCATGGAACACTCCACACGGATCACCATCATCGATTTGCTGGACCGATCGCCAAAAAAAAAAACTTGAATCGATACTTACGAAAAAAAAAACGTATACGTCTGTAAAAAAATCGACTCTATAAACTGACATTATGCTCACAATTGTTGCTCTTGCTACCGCAATTTGCAACCACAAACGAACGAACGAACGAACGAAACGAAACGAACAACAAAACTGTTATCACATCACGCAAAATCCATAACATACCACGTGCGTCTGTTGGTGGTACATGCGTGGGCGAGGAAGGACGGAAACGGCGGCTGGGTTTCGGGAAGAAGGGGAAGTCGTCCTTTACAGTTCACAGGAGCGAGGAGGTCCTGCCGCCGGAGGACACGGTCGGTGGTAGAAGCGGCCGGCAGCCGAGCTCCGCGAGCAGCGACGGCGAGGGGAGCGGCGACGGGGACAGGTCCGATTTGCTCTCTCTCAGTAGAAACACTTCTCTCTTTTTCATCTCTTTTTCACTTTATTTTCCTCATTACTTTTGCATTGACACGGGAGCGATCGACTGTGGCGGGGGGGAGGGGGGAGGATATTTACGTGGGGGCGGACGCGGCGTTTACCATCGAATCGTATGTCTTCGTGACAATGAATTCTGAGTGTTTGCACGAAGACTATTATGTCGCGGAATATGAAGGACGATACGCATAATCCATATCGCGCGTAATAAAAATTGTCGCGCGAGTGGAAGAGCGAGATATTGGGTGGTACTCATAGTTGGATCTTATATTTAAGACCGTCTTAAGTATCAGTCTTAAGATATTATGAACCAATTAGAGAATCGTATTAACATCTTACGATATACTTAAAACGATCTTAAAATAAGAACAGACTATGAATACCGTTCATTATTGATAGAAATTTTTACTCAGGTATACTCTGATCTCATTAATCGTAAAATCAATTGGATCAAGCCTTCGACGAAATGTGAGTACACGTTGCAGGAGGACTTGCGATAGGAAGAACAAGAAATACTGTTTCTACCGATGAACACTGTTGTTAACAGCAACAATGAAACACACTACACATCACTCTTTAGAGGCCGTGCTTTAGTCGGAGTCGTGTGAGTCTCTCTCGTGATTGTTGTCGGAAAATACTCTCTTGCCTAAAGTTGAATCGGCTCAGTACAGCGGATCCGCAAAGGATTCTCGTACGCGTTGCCATCGAATATTATTTTTCTTTTTTTTTTTTATTATATACAATCGAAGAGAAAGTATTTTGCGAATCTGCACGTTTCTACAAATAGTCACGAGGTGATTCCTTTCCTTCTCGTTATTCTAGATCGTAGATGCTATTTCTACGTAGCATTGATATTTCTAGAGAAACGTTCGCACGAGTTTCCTGGGCTGTAACCTAATAATAAGCTCTAACAATAAGCTCTATCAATATACGTGTTAAATCGTTCTGTTTTTTTTTTATATTTCTTCAGAGATGCAGAGTCCATCGTCTCTAGTTATGTAATATTTATTCCGACATGACGCGAGCCACGCAGATCAGGAAACTCATATTCTATTTGCACAAGTATAGTTGTGCTGGCGTCTTTTCGTGACTCTAGAATAGTGTCTCGGCACCGTGTGTCACGTTATAATCGTTCCGTTTCATACAGCTTTTGAATCTAGATCGTCGCGTGGTCAATTTGAATTTTTCAATTGCATCGAGGTAAGTTGGCCACCTGTGTGATACGTTATTTTTTATTATTTCTTAGAAGCCGCTGTTGATACGTGCTTAAGGTGAGAGTACGCTACTCACACGGCTTTTAATTTTTCAATGTCCTGAATCATTGCAATGCTTTTACGGAGTATATTTACGTTACAATATATATATTTCTGCGATGTCACTGATTACAAATCTATTGTTGAATGTGCTGTCAGATAAATGCGATGTCATTGACTACAATTTATCGTTGAATGTGCTGTCAGATAAATTATTTCCGGACAATCCTTATGTACTAACTTGATAATTATACATTTTTATTTCATTTTTTCTAAATTCGATGTACAAATTAAATGTACAAAATGTATGTATATGTATAATTGTATATATAATTATCTTTGTACTTAAGGCGTCCGGAGAGTATATTCAATAATCATACATGAAATAATATGGTAGAGTAAATATACACATTAATTTTTCTAAAGTTACAACTAATTAAATTTTATAGAGCAATCTCATACATAAAGGAAGATATATTAATTGTTTCTGATTAATTTTTTCTTTCGACAGCCTGCGTAAATTTATTTAAAAGGAGATTAATGAAATATACTAGACGACTGAAGGTTTATCTATATATACTTTTGTGTGCTATCTATTGCCATTGAAATAAATTTTTATTGGATCGTCAATGATATTTTATGTTTCTATAAATTGATTTTATTTTGTATTTAGTAATTCCGAGAAGAATAGTCTGTTATATAAATGCTATTACGTTATTTATAATACGATGAACGTCAAAACTTACAATTTTTCACGTAGGATACTAAGATTAAATATATTCCTATGTTAATGTCAAATGCAAATGGCCGAGCAATGTTGTTATCCCATTACATTTCACTCTAAATATAACATCTCAATAAATTTTTACATTCCCTTTTCCTACCTATGTAGAATTTTCAATTCAATTTAAAATGTTTCTCGAATTACAAGATCTCATTTCAGTTCTGCATTTTTTTATCACTGATCATTAGACTATTTCTGGAAAAAGAGTTAAACGAGTAAGCAAAGGAAACAAGGCATGAGAGAAGAATTTGCATGAGAGAGAGAGAGAGAGAGAGAGAGAGAGAGAGAAGTAGTCAACAAAATCTTACATGTTGAAATTGTGTTTATTCTATCATTGCTCGTTCGAAGATACACTAAATTAGTAACCGGAAATTCGGTAGCTCTCTTGGATACCTGAGGATGAGGGAGAGATGAACCGCTGCAGTACCGGCGTACGCAGATATTAATAAAAGACAATAGTTTAGCGGTATTTCTTGTTTGGTTTACAACGCAGAGTGCGGCGGGATGTTCATCAGCATTGGTGGAAGTGCCGGCGCCGTGGCACGCGGTGCCGGCTTATCGAACCGGAAACGTAACAGCACGCCGTGCAGCATACAACGATCCGAGGAGATCATGCCGGCCTACCAGCGCTTTGACAACAAAGGATCCGCAGCCAGCGATACCGCCGGAAGTCTCAACTCGATTTCTAGTTCCGAAGGAAGCTCGTAAGTAGTGGACTCCACCTGTGGCGACCAATTCTGCAAGCGGAAAAAGCGCGAGATTCCTGATACCCTCACTTTCTCTCTCTCTCTCTCTCTCTCTCTCTCTTCTCTCGTTCTCTCTCTCTCTCTCTCTCTCTCTCTCTTCTCTCTTCTCTCGTTCTCTCTCTCTCTCTCTCTCTCTCTCTCTCTCTCTTTTCTCTTCTTTCTTCTTTTCGATTTCTTTTCTTCTATCATTTGATGCTGATCCTACTATTAATTTCTATTCCTCTGTGGTTTTACTTACATTCTGTCCTCTTTGGCCGCTTGCACCTTGACTAAACGCGAAATGAGCTGTAAGTTGTAATTGAGCTATATGAAGGTGAGTTTATAGATTAATATATATTATTGGGAGAAAATAACGAAAATATTTTAGATAAGAGTAATAATTATATGTTTGAAGTATATTCTGTTGTGTGTTATAAATATATTAGACTTATTGAAATAAATGTATCTCAAACAGGGTTTTTCTCGTATATTATTGAGTTTCTGTGCTAAGAGAAAATAGAATGAAAAAAAGTCCAAGTAGATAGATGAACAATATTAACAGATGAATTAATATAAATTCAGAAATTATGAGCACATAACAAGTAATGTTGAGCATGGATGTAACGCTTGCTCAGTTTAATGATTACTTGCTTTTGAATATTGTTTAGTAAGTTCATAATTTGAGGTGTTCACAGCTTGCAGCTCATTGCTTATCGTTTGTCAATGTACATGCTTATTGTCTTTTCATACTCTAACCAATGAAAATTTATTCTTTGTCATTCGTATAAAATACGTATTTAACTAGAAAAATTAACAAATTTTATTTATGTGTATAATTTTATTACATAAATTATCAAGATAATTATGGTATCGTAATAAATTATTATTGCTCACAGAATCATCTTAATTATAGACAAAGAATAATCTTGCTTTATCTTCTTCTATGTTTTACTCCTTATATGCGCCAAGATCTGTCTTCACCTAAATCATAAACACTCCACATCGATTATTAAATTTTTAGACATATGATTGAAAATATGTCAGTAATACGTCCATGATTCGAACTGTGCAATTACATGATTGTGACCACGCGCTTTTTTTCATATCTCTTCGATTTTTGTCAATTTGCAATTTAGATTATTCATGTGATTTTTCTCACAGTCTCTTTCTCGATTTATATTATTCATTATATTATCCATAAATGAAGCGCTGTTTATAAAATCCATAAATGAAAATCAGAAATTTAATGTTTGTATATCATACCATCATGTTTTATTGTAAAAGTAACTTGTTTTTATACCTGTTTATTCTCCCCTTTTTTTATTTCATTGAATTATATTTGACATATAATAATTGAAAAATAATTTATATAATCAGGATTAAAAATTTTAGGAAATGTAACATTTTTTGTATCAGTAGAATACTTGTATGTCAATATTATAATGCGAGGAAAAAATATGTATTATAAGGTATAGTCTTCGACGAATTAGCTGTGGGATTTATATTCTATTGTCTTTTTCTGTCTCCTTTTTACGAAAATGTCCACAAAAATATTGTTGTTCATTATCGGTGTTGTTGTCGTCTTGGCTTAATTGCTTGATTGTGGCAAATGATTGTACTGCATTACCTCGGAGCACCGTTGCACATATATAATGTACACACACATACATATATATATATATACACACACATACATACACGCACTTTTATATCTATGTCAATGTGATATCTCATTGTCACGGAGTTACATATTTTCTACCTACATGGTAAGAAAAACCCTGTGAATATGTCGAATGTCACCTAAGAATGTCTTCGCAGGACCTCACGTTCTTCCCAATGATTTCCACCTACTTCTGTACGATCCATTGTCTTTTATATACTCGACTATGCTATTTATTGATATATCGACATTTCTTGTAAAGTAATCCCCTCTGTCTTATGGATTTCTTATCATTTCCATAAAGTGTATTTGATATATCATAGAATAGGTATTGTACAGCGTGTGTATCTTCTAAAGTACCTATCAGTTCGAGGTGTAACAGTAAGAAATTAAAAATAAACTAAACGTGGGTATGCGTGCCTGCGTGACTTACAGGATGTAAGCAAACGCTTTGTCGGTTCGGCAAAAAAAATGTTTACGAATAATAATTTTGCTAATAAATTATTTTACTCTTTGGCAGCGATAATATGGTCGAACCTATAGAGAAAATAATTGGGTGCAATCGGATGTATGAACTTCTATTCATATGACTTTACCCGACACTCAAATATACTGTTGCATTTATTGGTGGTATGATAATATTAAAATTATTATATATCTTAAACGGTTGACGATGCTATTAGATATAATTATTTCACAAAAGGGATGTACATTTATTTCATAAGATATTACGAAAGCTAATTTCTATGATTAGTTATTAGATTAACAATAATTTTGAATGGCTGTATGCACACTCGATGTGGATATCCACATTTATAGTAAAACTGTTTTTAAAAAGATCCGCTTATCTTTAGTAACGTGAATCTTCCCAATGGCGTAACGACAAGTAAGTGTATGTTAATACAAATCATTTTAATTAATTTTTTTTTCAGATTTTAATAAAGCATGTTAAGTAGATAAATGTAAGCGAAGAAACAGTACTCAGTTGTATATTAAAATTATCGATAATCAAAAAAAGATACAGGATAGATTGTAAAAATAATTTTTACATTGTATCGTTTAAATTAATTATTGCATTTATATACTCTTTGCATTTTTTCTTCGTTTGTATACATTGAAATGAACTGATTACTGTTATTTATAATAATTATCCAAAATCTCTCTTTTCTGCGCATTTAGATTAAAATGCATGCATTAGCAATCTGATATGTTTTTAAACTTATTTACATAATCTCTTTTTTCCATGTGTATAATATTATATTTACTCACTATACACTGACACTACACTTTCAGCGTGAGTTCTTCTTATCTCAAACTGAATGAGGTGTGTTCTCTATCTTTTACAACTTTCGTCGAAGGCTTGCGAGAATTGTCCCTCGCTCCTGCGGAAATATTACTTTCGTTTATGATTTTTCTCCTTCGCATTTTCTTCATTGCATCAGAGAGTTCGTATACTATAATTTTTTGCTTGCAGTTTTCGCGCTTTATTTTTTCTACTGTGGGTTATCGTACATTTAGAACAGTCAAGATCATTGTACATATACATCTTGTATAAGTTTAGTGTGTGAGCAAGAAAACGGAAAAGGGAAAACTTATAAAATAGAGTTTCCATTTTTCATTGGTCGCACGGTAAACACTATCAGCTAAATTATCACTTTTCTTCATCTGAAATCTTATATTATTTCTTCAAGCGTTTTTTTTAAATCATTGTTCATATTTTTTTTAGTACCCAGAATAAGTTGCGTTTCTTTACTAAATAAGTAATTTTGAAAACTGCAGTTGGTCTCCCAGTCTGCGAATGGCAGGCGACGGGCAGTTGAGAAATTTCATTGAAGATCTCGGACCAGGCCAAGTGGTCGGAAGACAAGCACTCGCTACCCATTGCCTCGGCGAAATTCAACTGTCGTTGAGCCATACGAAGGGTTATCTTGAAGTAGAGGTCATACGTGCCAAAGAACTCAAAGCGAAACAAGGCAGTAAAGTAATTCCAGGTTAGTTAAACTTTGATAAGTTTCATGATTGTCGAAGTGATATGGAGGCGCTTAGTTTTTCGACTCTCTTATTCCAGCTTCTTACGTGAAGTTGTATCTGGTGAACGGTAAAAGATGTATAGAGAAAGCGAAAACCACGACGGCCAGAAAAACGCTGGATCCATTCTATGGTTCGCAATTATTGGCTTTCAAAGAAAACTGCCGAGGTTGTATATTACAGGTATGTCGTTGATTGTTCTTCTAATTTCCTTTTTTTAATTCAATTGCGATTTTATGCGCATTATTGTATACTGTTTCAGGTGACAGTATGGGGAGACTACGGTCGGATAGAGGGAAAAAAAGTGTTCATGGGTATTGCACAGATCATACTGGATGAGCTGGACCTCAATCAGATGGTGATCGGATGGTACAAGCTGTTTGACACCCAAGCCCTGGTCAGTGGAGCTTCATCTCTTGCTTTGTCCCGTCGATCTTCGGTTACGTCTCTCGATTCTTTTAAAATCTAAAAGAATAACTGCCCGAAGAACGTACCGAAATATTCCTTTTGTATTTACTGAAGAGATCTTTAAGTTTTTTGCAGTAGACAAAGTAGTGCAGACACAATTGAGTTCGAGCTCCTATCGCGATGCACCCACTGCACATGCAGTCACTTTTATCATTAACAGAATACTGAAATGCACGAGTCTCGATGTACAAGATAGTATTATGTTTATTTTAATTGATTAAACAATAGAAAATGTATGGAAATTATTATAAACGTCTTTAACAACTTAAGTAACACGTATAAAATCATTGCTTGATGATATTAAATGTAGTATTAAATAAATATATTAGGGGATAGAAAGTTCGGATTATTACATTCATCGTATAAAAATTGAAAGAAGTGTTTAAGTAATTCTCTATCGTGTTGTAATATTACATATTCTTCACTATGGTTGACAGAATTGAAAAGAATCTTATACACCCTACACGCGTATCCCCCGTAGGCTATTAATGTCGAAGCCTAAAGCTATTTAACGAGTGACGTTCGGCTCTGAATACGGTAAAGTCAGTTTAACGAACAACATAATGAGGAATATACAGTATGAAAAGTGCGATTGTATACAGATAATAAAAAATTCTGCGAAATCAGAATGAAAACGAGAGATATAAACAATGCAAAGGTGATGCGAGAATGTAAAAAGAGTGAAAAAACGTACGAAAGGATGTCTTTCTAGAAACACCACTAGTACATCACATATAATGTACGGCATATCAGATGAGCCACTAGTCTGTATGTAGACTAGATGTAGACGTAGCAGCCATGTTCCCGGAGCGCCAGATAGTTTTAGGTACGCACTGAGATGAAGGCATCGTTCGTAGATAGTTGGACAACGATTTAACGTGGGTACATAAAAGGCGATATAATAAAAAATCGCCGATACGATTGCAATCGTTCGTTCGGAATAATTGCAATGTTTATTCGTAATGTTTTAACGATCAAGTCAGCAATATCACTCATATTTTCAGGATATTAACCTTTCGATCGATTTTCTCAAGTACCCATGTGAAATCTTGATACACATTTGTTGTTGCCAATATCTTCTTTTCATTTCCACCGTTTCTGTATAGAAATCTCCTCTTATTATTCTTTGAAAATGCTTGCCCTATATAAAAATACTTCCATTTCGGCTTCGAAGTAGCGACATAGGTCGGTATTCATAGTCCATTCTTATTTCAAGACCACCTTAAGATGCTAATATAGTTCTCTGATTGGTTTATGACATTTCAAGTTTGTAAGTTAAGACAGTTTTCAGTATAAAACTCAACTGAATACCGGCCATAGAGTTGATAACAGAAAGAATATGAGATTACGTTATCACATATATGCGGTCGAAACTTCGTTGCCATGTGCTGTATGCATCGATTTTACCTTCCTAAATTTGTAGAAAGAATATGCCTTTGTCTACGAAATTTGGTTCGACATGAAAAAAGTTCGATTGCCATTAATCCTTAAATTTACTATTTGCACATTGTAAGTTTAATATAATATTTATCCTCATCCATTTTAAGAACGATTTTTATAGATTTTCTGGTATTGCTTCATATATACATCACATTATTAATTTCGACCTTTGCACAATATTCATTCTCTTTTTCATGATTCGTTTGAACTTCCTTGTAAATACATGGTATAAATCGTGACAGTTTTTAATGTGCTTGAATTTTTAACAATATAAAAATTATATGAAAAGTAAATAAAGGTAAGTTTGTGCCGTATTCGGAGTCCTATGTATCCTCTTGTATATTTTCTCAAAATGTTTTCAAAATACAATCAATTTGAGATATTGAATGGTGTCGAAGAAATCTCATGATAGAAGAATCGTGAATTTATATATACGATACAATGTATGATGCGTGAATCTCATATGCATGTGCATTGAGAATTTTTATCATTCAATATTTCATGAAAAGTAAATGTTATATATTTGTAATTAATAATACGTTTGTTTTATTTTTCAGTGAAAACAAATTAAATCAAGCAAGTTCAGGATAGATGTGAACTCAAATGTGGTGTACTAGATAAATAAGATGTGAAACGGTCAATGACACTCGTTTTCAGTGAATCTAATCTGGTTAAGTGAATAATGAAATTCATGAACACAGTGAGAAATATGCGATAAATGGATACGGACTTCATTTAAACGGCATGTGAGAGATTTAAAGTATTGAGACATTCCAAATAAGAAGATATTTCCAAACTTTGTATATAATTTAGGACAGTTCAAGTATGTCGATCTCCGAAATGATCGGCTAAAAGACATTTATCGTTGTCAAATTTTTAGTCAAAAATGTCACCGTCAGAGCATATATTATTTAATGTAAATATTATAATAACACTGATATGAGAATTTGCGATATGTGCGCGCAAGTTTGAATGGATAATAACATTTACTTTATATTCTCGTTGACTTTCTACGAGGATTGTCATTATAGTTTTAATTTTTTTTCTTAATTACACAAACTCGATCTAATTTAACATTTTTCTAAGTTAGCATCGGAATCATTAGAATACGATGATATAATTAATTACACGGTTTGTTCCCTGAATACTTTATTGATTATCGTATTAGCACGTGTCACTTGGCTTTTTAAATATCGTTTAGTAATCTGTGTTCAAAAAGAAAAGAGATAATTATTATGATGTAGAAAATATGGAACAGGCATATGTACTATATTTCTCAAGTACGAAGTAGACTGATAAATCGATTCCTATACATCTAGTTTGGATCTTTTCGTTGAATTAGCAATCTCAAAGCCAGAATGAAGTATACCCGAACGATTACGAATCAGCTTTATTTGAAAGCTTTGTTTGGAAGATTTTATTCGCGTATAAGAACCAGTTTTCGAAACAAATTGAAAAAAACAAAACCGCCCATATAACTCGCGTAAACGGGACGCGTCGCGGCAAAAATTCTCTTTCGTACTGATTTTGTACAAAAACAGTGAAATGCCACTAAATATTTAAGAGGCTTTGTAAATCTCTGTAAGAAGCGCGTAAAAGAAATGCTTGCCATTAATTTTATATCTTAATTATCGTGCTATGTGTTCGATCTTTCTTCGTGCGTATCTCGAACACTCGCGAAGAGCGATTATATTCAGCGAGCATGCACATGCACGTCTGCTGTGAATTAGTAAATAATTATATTTGTGCTCTCTGAGAGAGAGAGAGAGAGAGAGAGAGAGAGAAGGGAGAGAGAGAGAGAGAGAGAGAGAGAGAGAGAGAGAGAGAGTGAGTGAGTGAGTGAGTGAGTGAGTGAGTGAATGAGTGAGTGAATGAATGAAAGAGCACCTTCTGTGAAGTTTTAAGCGTGAAAACTTCATGTAAAAAACAACGTTTTAATTTAATTATAGTGCATGAGATTTGGAAAAAATGAGGAAAATGTTTGAAAAGAAGCAAGTTTTCAATATTTTTCAGGTATTATTGCGAGTTGCACTTTTGTGAGTTGATACGAATACGAAAATTAGGAAAATCACTGAGCGAAGTTTCTTTGTAAGTCTTGTTAATAATCTCATGAAGTAAGCTTTTTATGTGACATACCTTAAATTACAAATCATTGTATAGTTGAAAGGTACTCCTTGGATATTATCGATAAAATTGAACATGATAAATGGAATGCAAGCTTCAATGTATATGGCTATATTACCTATATTTTTGTAAATCTACGATTTAAAAATTCGCTAGAGATATAGGTTTGAATGTAGAAAAATTTCTATAATTCGCGTCACGTTTCTTGTCACTAAAGACTAACATTCAGCGACATTAAGAGCGTCGACGCTCTTTTATCACAAATTCTTACTATGATTGACCAAATATAATATTTTGCTTTGCAATTTGAAATGATTGTCTCACACATCTCGCACTCGCGTTTCTACTCTCCGTTATATCAATATTTCTATGCAATTTCTATCGCAACGCGATCTTTGAGGTAAGATCGAGATAATGCAAGCGCGGAGTTTGATACGCGTGCTGAGATTATATCGAAATGTCATCGAAATACATACATCCGTCGTTAAGTGAGTTATGGCGTAAGACTTAACTTAGAATTTGACGAACGAAATAACAAATATCGTTAATTTACAGATGAACTATGTAGATGTCACCGATAATCCGATTGTTCACGATAAATCCTAGGTAACGTAATTTTCTCGTAATCGGAAGACCGATCGAGCTTTAGGGAATGGTGGAATTGTATAAAAGGGTATCTTATCATATCTATATATGCTTACATTAGAGACGTACAGCAAAAAGAAAGAAGCTTTTTTACTTGTGAGAAAACAAAGACAGAAAAGTAGAGTTCTATCCGAAGACAAAGATACGTATATGTAAAGTACTGTGAAAAAAAAAAATATATTATTGTAAGCTGATTTCTAAGTACATATTTTGCAAGTGCACGAACTTATCAAGATCGTGAGACGATATATATATATATATAT